TAACCTTTCTATGAACCCATCTAAATTTGTCGATGTTCCCTCGGAGGGGTAAATCATATTCTGATTCCGTTGAGATATGCCAGCTGCTTCCCATTAATGATAGACCCCTGAATGAGGAAATCATTGAAATTCTTGGGTGTTATTCTGAACAATTCTTTTTCTTGGTCTGAGAACATCTGATAAAACAGTTTGTTCATGCCTGCATCTTACCTCACTGATTCCAGGCGTCCCCCGTGATTTTTCCTAGCTTATTACAAAAAGATATACGTGTGACGTCTAGATCACTCAGACATTTATGTTGTGATTCACCAAAATCTCATTTAATCCATCACGTAGTCTCCCAACAAACCAAAGCCTGTGATGAACTAGCTCACAAAATACTGTTTGACTCTTATCACTCACTTAACTCCTCATTATCTTAATGTATTTCAATCTCTTCCACTCGCTTCAATTATACACACGTTCAAGCACACACAAGAGCGTATTACTCTTCCATTGTTCCTTATCTTCCAGCTTTTTGGTGTCACACGGACCGTATTTTGCATGATTTGCTCATAGCTTGGAGTGAACTTCGCAAACCTATTGAATCTTCATCTTCATTTTTGGGTATCTGGCAGTTGAATTTGCACCATATGGTGTAATAAAGCAACTTCTTGATTGGACCTGACATTCCAGGCTCTTGCAGTAAGGAGAATGTCACGTATCGGACTGTGATTCACTGCGTCTTGAACCTGATTGCAGAAATCGTCTTTGATGGGCGCTTCCGCGAGTAACGTTAAATCATAGACAGCGATGACAGTCAGGTTGAACGGGTAACCTCTGAAGCGCGCTACGGCAATCCTCGGAGAGATCTTGACATTGTTAGCCCGTCCGCTCACGAAGATTGCTAACCCGTGCAAACCGGGGTTTTCAGCTGGACCGCTGTGGTATAGCCGGTAGGCTGCGTCGCTATGTGGTACGTTGACTAGTTTTTCGCCCCAGTTAATTAGTCGAACCTCGGACAGACAACAGATATCTACTTTGTAGTCGTGCAGTGAACGCATTGTGGTGCAATGGTTTCCTAGCTATGTCCTAACATTCCAGCACGTTACGTGGATGCTGGATCTGGTGTACAGATGGTCTAGGATCCCAGCTTGTTCATTTGTCACCCTAGGCACTGAGAGCGTATATCGCGTCGCTTCCCAGGGACGCTGCAGCATGAACGCGAGGTACCATTGTAAGACGAACTATGAAGAAACTTGGGAATGAGACACTAAGCGAAGTCCCCCGCCGTCGCTCGGCTTTTATTCAAGGGTGTATCTCTAACCCTTGCACAATCAAGTGAGACCGCAGAGTAACTAGGTAGAACGATTGGTAGCCGGTGACCGTCAGAATGTTCATACGCCTTTCCGATGGCTCAGCGCCAGTCTAGGATCCCAATGTATCCGTGAGGTGTGGGGGTCAGTAGCATTCCTCAAAGTTTGCCCTGCCCGGACGAGTAGGAAGTGGCAAGGGCCTTATTGGGCCACATTCTCGCACGTCGCGATGCTGTCACGAGACACTTACGGCCTTTAAAAAGGATATTAGTTGTCCGCCGGAAACCCCACCGCGTCCGCTGGCATTGTAGCTGATCTTCCGCAACCGATTATTCTGTGAGGCAAGCCCACCTATTCCCGGTTACCCACCAGAGTGGCCTTTCTAGTATCAGCGACCTGGAGACGCGCTCGGGAGCACTTAGCTGTGCTATCCGTAGGCAGTCAATTCGCTATATATATATATATGCTCGAGTTCAAGCTTTGCGAAACAAATCACGATACAATAATCCTCATAAAAAGAAAAGGGTCCGGGATTTGCTCAAGGGCATGATACTGCAAGCTGGCCCAGGCCAAAGAGGGTTCACGCTCGGAGCCATCGGCGAACTAACTCCCCTAGATGAACTGCCAGTGGTTCACCAACCCGGTTACAGCCCCCAGATGTTGGCCTTTTGTCCTCTCACTTTGATGGGAAAACACTGACACGTGATGGCAGTGAGGAGAGCTTTCTCAGCATAAGCTACCTGAGATGATTGGTCGAATTGGAGC